TTGTTTATTTTTTGTCAGGCAACAAGGGCTGTTACAGAAAATATGTAAGTCTCATCCAAAGCAAAACACACACACACACACACACACACACACACACACACACACACACACACACACACACACACACACACACACACACACACACACACACACACACACACACACACACACACACACATGGACACACACACAGAGCAGTAGTCATTTTTTATCTGACTCAACGTACTGAATTAGCTCTGTCAGAGTGTAAATGAAGAGCTCAAGAGGTAATACATTTGGACACACAGACAGACACACACACACACACACACACACACACACACGCACGCACACACAATAGTTTATTATTTATTCCCACATGTTATTTCCTTGTTTATTTATTTGTCTGTTTGTTTGTCTGATCATTTACTTAATTCAGAAACACTTTCTATGAAGCCCATATATAATGAATTATAGCCCCATTTATAATTATTTATAAGTAAGGATTAATATTCTATATTTAAAGACTTGTTACAGTTTTGTACAATCACTTTGCTACTATTTTTCAGAACCTTGATGTAATTTTTCTAACATCTGATGTAACATCTCTGTAAAAGTACTGCAGTAGTAGAGAGAATACAGACATAGTGGAATCATTGAACAAAGTGTGATACATTGATGCAAAACACTGCAGTACAATCACAACATAGGTTTATTGGAAACTTATGTAATCATGTAGTTGAATTGGTGACAATGAATCCTGTAATCTTGAAACTTTCATGATTTACTGTAAACATGGAAGATTGTTTGTCTGTTTCCATACAATTATGAATTAAGAGTAATGCAACAGTTACTTATCATTTTGAGCAGTTGTATCAATTCATAGTTAGATAGTAAGGAAATAAATAGACACTCATTTTTAAATGCAATGGTTGAATTGCCTTTTGAAATAGTAGTACTTTGATGTTAAGTTGTGTCATATTGATCAGGCGATTTTTGTTTAATGAACAAATTATCTAAGTTTCATGTGTGTTGTATCCAATCACTTGAGAAAAGGGTTAGAGTTTTGAAAAATGTGCATTTGATCATTGGTTGTGAGTTTTGTGTCTAGAGTGGTAAAAATGGCATAAAGGTTCTGAAAATATTAGCAAAGTGATTGTAAAAAAAAAAAAAAAAAAAAAAAAAAAAAAAAAAAAAACGTAAGCCATATACTGCATTAGTAGAACAGTTATAATTATTTATATCATGTTTTTTTTTATATATATATATTACTAATAAGTCATGCCTTTGCTTTTTCAATGTGCATGCTCATACTCCATTATATAGTGATTTACAAATTATCAAATATAAAAGAGTTCCAGAGACACTTCTTTGCTGTGCAAAATAGTTATCAATTATGTCTTTAATGGCTGATGTTTGCATTGAAGGTCATGCATGATATTACTTATACTGTAGGAGTTTGCTAAAATATATATATAGCAGTTATTACCAAAAAAATATGATTTTTTGTGTGAAAAAGGTACTTTTAAAGATACATTTAACTATAACTGTTCTTATAATTTATTGTCTTAATTAGTCTTTATAAATATATTATAGAATAGTAATACTTAAAAATAAGTATCAATGGAGCTATAATTTATTATAAGCATGGACTTCATAGAAAGTGTTCTGCTTATGTCATTTTTTCTTGTTTTTATTTCCTTGAAATTAATGGTTCAATTTTTGTTTTGAAGGAATTCATCCAAGACCGGCATAATCACTAAGGTAAGGTTTGGAGTCCAGCCACAGACAAACAAGGTTATTTACAATGTCAATCAGAGATAACGATGCCGTCCATGCAAAACAAACAGCAAACACAATGAAATGTGTGATAGAAATGCAAAAACTAATATCCTGAGATTTAGGCCAAAGCCTAAACAAAATGATTGGTCAAGTTGTGGGTCTTGTTAGCCTTTAATACTAACTTTGATCATTTTACCGAATGGGACAAAGATATATATGTGTATATGCTAATTCATTCCAGAGAAAGGTTGTTACACTATTTGCCCTTAAATGTCCATTCTCTGGGGAATACAGGACTAACCGCCGAGCTTCCCATCGGTGGAATCGTATTAGAATCTGCACAGCAGCAAAACAAACATAAACCTAAAATAGTGTACATTTCGATAATGGAATCTGGCGGACAAAGAAATCTGTATTACCAAGGGGGAGGCCTTATCTAGTGATGGCTAGACTGTGCCATACTGGGATGTAACAAGAAATACAGAGAGAACAACAGTGAGGGAGAGCGAATAAGGGGGATGGAGGACTGTGATTGTGGGGAATCTATATCTTTAGGATCAGCAGGTCATTGAAGAGAGGTAGCTTGTTTCATTAGTCTGTTTTGTAATGATACTCTCTGATTCCCATCTTGTCCTACATTGATTTATGACTAGGGTGGTAGAGAGTTTGTAGAAATACTTACGCCAACTGCTCAAATAAGATAAGGAGCACTGCTTTACTTATTGTTTGGCAAACCATGTACATCAAACACAATGTCCAAAGGCTATTTCTCTCTCTCTCTCTCTCTCTCTCTCTCTCTCTCTCTCTCTCTCTCTCTCTCTCTCTCTCTCTCTCTCTCTCTCTCTCTCTCTCTCTCTCTCTCTCTCTCTCTCTCTCTCGCTTTTTTTTTTTGCTCTGCTTTGTCCATAAAGCTTTAAGAATTCACAGAAATCCGTTACTGTCGGATTAAACAAGCTGCTCATTGTCAATTGTCAGGTGTAATTTGGCTTTGATTCATGCTATATCACAGAGAGGGGAGTTTACTCTGCTTGTCAAGAACACAAACATTATGATAAAACATGAGTGCACTGGTAATTTGCTTCAGTGTGAATAACATGTAGACAATTTGATTGTGCCATATTTGCATATAGTCAAAAGAACGACATTTGTACATACTATATCTGTACAAGTGCACTGAATTACTTTACTCTACCAATGCAATTGCTGCCACTATGGCGGTGTGTAATAAAGCAGATCCTTCATTTAGAAGTATGAAAATTAGAAACGTTAACTCTCTGTCTCATGGATGACATACTGCATGTCACCACAAACAGCTGTTTTTCACCTTTTCACAATTTCTCGGCTGCCTTTAAAAATATCCGTACGCAGGGTTGTTAATGTTGTTATCATGTGGTATTAGTTGAGTTTGTGGGAAAAAATGCAGATGGGATTTTACAGAAATGTATTTGTGTGGTGCTGACAGAAAATATCATTGAGTGACTTTGCGATGGATGTTAAGATACTCTTGTGTTGCAGAGCACATGTTCTCATAGTATTTTATGCCTGGGTCTGTGTGAGTCTATATGATGGTCAGTCAGTCTATTGCACTTTAATTACAATGTTGACAGGTGGAGAAATAGCCCTATACAGAAGCTATGATTTGCATTATTCATTATTAATTAATAAATAAAGCATCTTATTTATTGCATCCCCATTGTTCTGTGTTCCAAAGTTCTGTAACATTCAGCACTGGGTTGAGAATACATTATTTATTTATTTATTTTTTTTTAATCGAAGGTAACCATTCAAACAAGTTTAAACTGAAATTCATGTAACTACATTAAATGCCATTTTCTTCTTTATTTTTAAGTAGAAAAGGTTGAGGAATGTTTCAAATTAAGACTTATAATATTTCACAGATACATCTTTGAAAGCTCACCTACTTCATTTATGATTATTTATCTTTAACACATTTTTGTAGACCATGATGAAAGAACACTCAATTTCCCCGTATATTATTAACAGTTTTGAAAGATTTTGAAAATTTCACTTCATGTAATTCTACAGCCTCCGAGGTTAACAAAATAAAAAGGAAGCACAGCAGTACATTGACAAGAAGACAAGAAGCTATTTCTAAACTAAATGGTAAATGGACTGCATTTATATAGTGCTTTCATAGACCTAATGGCCACCAAAGCACTTTACATTTGCCTCACATTCACCCATTCACTCACTCATTCATACACCGACGGCGGTGTCAGCTATGCAAGGCGGCATCCAGCTCGTCGGGAGCAGCTGGGGTTAGGTGTCTTACTCATGGACACCTAAAGGAGGCTTCAGTTTGCTGAATAAACAGCATATTCCTTAATTAACTTACAGCCTGTCATCTAATATCCGAGGTTGCAATTATTTAAAACTTAAAACAAAATGTATTTATTTGATCAGAACAAAAAATAAATAAATTATATATATATATATATATGAAGAGTTCAGATGCAAAAGCCTCTAAATGCCATTTGAATTTTTTTTCTTTAATGAGGATTTTTGTCAAACTTGTAAACTTGCAAACTTACAAAATAACAATTAATAGGTAATTATCATTGCCATTTAAGTGAAATTACTGAACTTAAATATACAAGTTTGATAAAAATCATCATTAAAGAAGAAAATTTCAAATGGCATTTAGAGGCTTTTGCATCTGAACTCTTCACATATATATACATATATATATGGTAATTCAGTCTGGGAATTCAGTCCAAATTATTGTAGAATGTGGGCAATTAAATTTAAAATGTACAGCGCTGAAAGAAGGCAAGTCTTGAACAGCAGTTATGAGTGTACAATCCAACCCAGTCTCACAATATATATATATATATATATATTAGGGCTGTCAAAAATAGCGCGTTAACGACGTTAATTCGTTGTTTGTCGTTAATTACGTCAATTTTTTTAACGCATTTCACGCATGCGCAGTGTGACAAATTATTCAGGTCAGGAAAGTGATTGGGAAGGGAGCAAGAGGCGAGATGGAGCAAGGTGAGCAAAGTGGGCCTATTGATGGATTCAAATTTAAAAAGAATGATGATGGTACAGTTAACAAGTACAAGGTTATTTGCAAGATTTGTAACAAGGAGTTTCAATTTCACCGGAGCTGTTCAAGCTTGAGGTACCATGTCAACGCCAAACATGCGTTTGCTGGGTCGTCAAGTTCAGCAAGTGGTTCGCGCCAGACCACTCTGAATTTTCGCGGGCCATTAACAAAATCAACCTCAGATAATTTGACCAACAAAATAGCAAAATGGATTGCAAAGGATTGTAGACCCGTTAACATTGTAGAAGACTCGGGTTTCATTGATGTTTTGCGAGTGGCGTCTCAAGACTCATCCTACAGGCCACCGTCAAGAGCCACAGTTATGACGAAAATCCACGAGCTCTATCAAAACGAAAAAGAAAAAAGGAAAGAGGTCTTGGCTCAAGTAAATCATATCGCCCTGACAGGAGACCATTGGACATCATTGAATAACAACAATTACCTCGGAGTAACTGCACATTTCATCAGTGACACATGGGAACTGAAGTCTTTTGCGCTGACTATATTAAAAACTGAGGAGCGTCACTTTGCGGAGGCTTGTAAAGAACAGTTCTTGTCTGTTGCACGTAAGTGGGACATCGAGGGCAAGACGACAACAATTGGGACTGACAGTGCACGCAACATGGTTGCCGCAATTCGACTTACACGCTATGAACACATGAACTGTGTCGCTCACATGGTGCAGAGAAGTGTCACGGTGAGTCTTGCTGACAGCGGCTTTGTAAATGCTTTGGCGAAGGCTCGCAAAGTTGTCGGTCATTTTAAGCATAGCCCAGCAAATGCTGCGGAGCTTCAAGCACAACAAGTCAGCCTGGGAAAGAAGCAAGAGCCATTGATCCAGGATGTTCCAACACGTTGGAATTCGACGCTGGAAATGGTCAAGCGCGTGAGCAGAAATAAAGAGGCTGTCATCGCAGCCCTGGACAAACAGGATCACAAACTCGTTTTGCCGACCGCAGCAGAGTGGGATAAACTGCAGAGGCTGGAGACACTTCTAGAGCCATGCAGGTAAATCAGTCTGTAACTTATTAAATAACATTGCTTTGATTATTTCCTGGAATTAATTAAACCAAGTCAAATATCAATAACATGTATGTAAATAATAATAATTATAATGATAATAATAATGATAATGATGATAATAATAATGATATTTTGATAACCACTGTTCAAATAATAGACTGTCTCTGTGTGCATGTGTGTGCGTAGGTATGTAACTGAGCTCCTGGGTGGAGAGGCCTATGTCTCCTGTTCTGTGGTACTACCTTCTCTCTGTCACTTGCGTCTCAAGATGGAAGCCTGTGATGAGGACCCTGCATATGTGGTGAGATTCAGACCAAGTTCAAGGAGGACCTATCATCCCGTCAAGAAACAGCTCAACAATGCATGGCTCCAGATTGCTACAGTTTTGGATCCTCGTTTCAAAAGACTTGAAATGCCTGCCTAAGACAGACAGGGAAGCGGTGTGGACCACACTTGAACGGATGCTGCAACAAGAATCACCCAGAAAGTCTTCACAGACGCATGATGATGGGCCACCCAGAAAGAAAATCAGCCTTCTGCAAATGGGCTCAGATTCTGAATCAGAAGATGAAGAGGTCCAACCTGCCATACAGAGGTACAGAGCAGAGCCACCATTAAATTGGAGGACTGCCCCTTGAGGTGGTGGCATCTCATTCGGGAGCCCATGAGAAGCTGGCCTCACTAGCTCACAAATATCTAGCCACTCCTGCAACCACTGTTCCCTGTGAACGACTTTTCTCAGTTGCAGGTCACATTGTGAACAAGAAAAGATCAGCTTTACTTTCAGAAAACGTGAACAAGTTAGTTTGCCTCAGCAACTGGCTGAAAGATGATGAAGCTCAGTAGATTTAAAAGGTGATGTTCAAGCAAAAAGACCAGTTTCAGTGCAACATGTTATAGTAGTTAGCAACTGGATTTTTGAGCAACTGGATTAAAGAATGGAGGAAAAGTTAAAAGATTGTTCTTTCTTTGGTTTGATTAAAAGTTTTATTTGAAAATGTTTTTTTCCACATAAAAACGCAACAGATGACTCAAATTGTACAAAAATATGGTAGGTCACTGTTATGATTTGACTACATTTATTGCTTTCTCTGTTCAATTGAATGCTGTAAATTGTACATCCTGGTTAAGAGAAAAGCGATGGGACAGCTTGATTTAAACCACCATTATTGGCTGTGTTAATAAACAGACATATTATGAAAATTATATATCTTGTCTTTTTTTTTATCTTTTGGTATGCATTTCAGAAAAAAAATGGTTAGGATTCAGGTGTAATTGCAAATAGTGATTAATCATGATTAATCCACAAAAAATTCTGATTAATTTGATTAAAAATTTTAATCATTTGACAGCCCTAATATATATATATATATATATATATATATATATATATATATATATATATATATATATATTTTTTTTTTTCCAAAGTTGCAATTTCATACATTTCGTACAATGTGATTTGTAAGAAAACATACGATTTGTAACAAAGAAATAATTCCTGTCCCTAACCCCACCCTAAACCTTAACCCTCAGTGGTGCATGAGCAGGACATTTGACAACGTGTAAATGAGATTTTCAAAATCATACAGTTCATCCGCCACCCTTTTGGCAAAATGTAAATGAGATAAGATATGATAAATGTAAAGTTGTCACGAGACTGTGTTGGTAGAGTCATGTGAGTTTCCTCTTTTGAGGCAAGTCTTCTGTGTTCCATTCAGAATGATTTTGTGCCTGATGTGAGATGGATTTCAGCACCATGGACAGGGGAAATGCATAAGCACACAGCTTGCAGGCAGATCAGGAACAGCATTCACTGGCACTGCTTCGAACTCCAGTTTGCTGGAGTTGCTCAGGGAAGCAATAACTAATATTTCATTCTGTCCACCCTCTATTGACATTGACTAAGTCTGAACATGGCCTCACTAGCAACCTGGGACTGCCTTGTCTGTCTCCCTAGGTCCACCAGAAATTTCCGGCCAAGAATTAACTAACCCCGGCCTACACCAGAAACTCAAGAGCACAGCCTTCATTTACTCCAATTCCCCTACGTCACAGAAACTGAAGATTAGTTCCCCTATGGTTTCTGTAGTCTTTTTCACACTGCGTTTTATTGCACCTCTCATGCTAGCCCTTTCCCACCGTCAGGCTGCTTGTTGCCAATCTGGAACCGTTACATTCATTTCCACAAGAGAAAATGTGACTCTCGGCCAGAAAAGTGGCTCATAAAACCTGCTGGTCTTAAACCAGGGTGGTATGCCCATACCAAACTTGCACAAAAACACAAAAGAAAACCTCAACAACTGTTGAAAAAGCAATGTGCATCATCAGACTCATTCCCATTTTGTGTAGATATTTTTTTAATGAACAAATATCATATACATTCATTTATTTCTATATATTCTGACATTCAAAATAAGCTTGTCAAAATCAGATGCTGAATCAAATTACTAAAAAAGTTTGTTAATCACTAAGATTCATAAACAAAAAGTTTTAAGATTCACATACATTCCCTGACCTAACAAGAATCAGAAAAAAATGTTGTAATGCAATCTACCAATTGGCACTGGCACAAAAACTTAATTTGCTGATTTTCTGTATACTGTATGGGCTATATATTGTAAATTGCTTAACCGAAAAATGTGCCATGAGGGCTGTTCATTTCCAACTCGTTAATGTAAAGTATGGGTGGGTATGTCACAGGTTGATTTAATATAAAGACAATATTTAGTCTCATTATTTGAATGTAGGCCAGCTTCTTTTAGTGTGAATTAGTTGAGCCATCACTCGTGCTTGCCACCTACAGGCAGCATAATGTAGCTAATGGGATCAGACTGCTTGATCTAACACAGTCTCATCCCAAGACGTCATATAACTGAAATTTTGGGACGTCTTTTTACCATACGTCAAGATCCGCCGTTTTAGGGTACCTTTTAACGTCAGTTACATGACGATCCTGGGACGTCATACATACGCTTTACTTTTAACGTCAGCTAGGTGACGGGGTAGGTTTAGGGGTAGGTTTAGGTCTGGGGTAGGGTTAAGATCAGATAACGTCATCTAAACGGCGGATGTTGACGTATGGTCAAAAGACGACCCAAAACGTCAGTTATATGACGTCTTGGGATGAGACTGCGCTGCTTGATCGCATCGTATCCTTACACTTGTCCAGTCAAGTCACTTTATTTATATAGTGCTTTTACAATACAGATTGTTCAGATATAGCAGGAAAATAGTGTTGTAATAACATTGTTAAAGGGTTAGTTCACCCAAAAATGAAAATTAAGTCATTAATTACTCACCCCCATGCTGTACCAACCCCGTAAGACCTTCGTTCGTCTTCGGAACACAAATTATGATATTTTTGATTAAATTTGAGAGCTGTATAACTACCACGTTGGCCCCTAAGGGACTGCCTCTTGACGGCCCAGAAAGTCAATGAAGAAAATGTTTAAATATCCCAAGTGACTACTGTGGCTCAACTATATGTTTATCAAGCGACGCGAATACTTTTTGTGCGAAAAAACAAACAAAAATAACGAGTTTATTCGACTATTTCTTTTCTTCCTTGTAGGCCAGAAACGAGACTTCCTTAGATTTCCACGACGCATGCGCGAGAATTGCGATCTGAAGTAGTGTAAGCTGGTGTAAGCAGATCGCAATTCTCGCGCATGCGTCGTGGAAATCTAAGGAAGTCTCGTTCTGGCCTACAAGGAAGAAAAGAAATAGTCGAATAAACTCGTTATTTTTGTTTGTTTTTTCGCACAAAAAGTATTTGCGTCGCTTGTCACAATATTTATCCAGTTCCATCTGGTTGCAGGTTGGAGTCATCACGTCGGTATGGAGATGAGTTTGTTGAGGTGTCCATGAGGTCTTAACTGGGCTGATGATGCTGGCACTTCAGGGATGAGTTGTGGTGGTATCTAGGCGCAAGTCCAACATCTGATCTGGATACAGCCCAGGTCCAGCTGATTAATATATACCTCGGAATAAACAGAAAGATTAAATTAGCGTAGAAAATGCTATTATTTTTATGATGTAGCACCTGATGTACACATGATGGAGTACATCAGGTGTTATAAGAATTGTTTCTGGTTTCGGCTGACCAAATTTATACTGCCTAATAATCATGTAACTGCTTTGAATAATAGGAATAAGGTTCTAAGTGTATGCAAGGTTGAAGAGAGAATCTTTTTAATCTGGAAAGGTTAAAGGAGCATTTCACCCATCGCAACATAAAGCTTTATTGAAAGTGGATCATATATGTAGTCGAAATGTAAAATAATTTTTTAATTTGGTGCCCTCTTGACCGAGAAAAGACAGAAAATAACCAAGGGCCGCATATGTACTGTATGAATAGACTACAGGTCCCAGAATGCTCCGCTTTGTACAGCTCCGCAAGCCACACCCTCTAATCCGGAACCGCACAAACAGAGAATTCACTCTTCTGTCTACAAGGTTAACAATAGCTATCACCAGAGTTTGAAATTCATTTCACACAAAATGTCTAGTTGGCTGTGGCGAAGCAGGACGATCGAGGGCGAGGCACATAAGAGGACGGAGCGCCGCGCGAGGCTGGTGGCGTGAGTGATAACAGACTAAACAGAGACTATTTGGTGATAATGAAAGACACCTGTGAGGCGCGCGCCGGTCCCACGTCTCTCACGGAGAAGTGAAAGCATAAAACGGGGGTCGACGACGGCAGATCGAGAGAGAAACAGGCCTGATTTTATGAAGTTTTGTTTCTGTTGTGTGTAACGTTACAGCAGGCTGCTGGCTTTGACTTATACTTTCGTTTTGTATTTGTTCATTTTACTATTACAGAACGGGGCCATACTCAGATGGTCATACTCAGAACTCATGCTTCTACCTTTTGGGCCGGCTGTAGTTTGTTTACTAAGCATGCAGGGCAACCACCCATAATAGCTTTACAATAATCTAGCCTTGATGTCATGAACGGATTAACTAATTGTTCTGCGTTTGTCATTGAGAGCAAATGGCATAATTAAAAGTAACAAAAACATATCTGTATCTAAATGTTTTCGAACATGTTTCAGAGTTATTGAACCATAAATATACTAGAAAATATGCATTTAAGACATAATATAACAACAACATCTGTAGCACTTAGACTTTAATCCACTGAATAGCATGACATTTTGTAAAAGTACGACCAATGCAATTATATATCTGACTAATGAAAATGCATTTTGGTGGGCCAGTGTTAATGAAAGGTGGATGAATCAAAGCTGGATGTTAACCAGATGTGGGAGTTATGAAGTTTAAAATGGGCCTGAGAGAGAGGGAGAGGGAGAGAGAGTCACAATGTTGCTTCTTGCTACTCTTGTTGTTGTTCAAGCCAAGTCTTCCAACACTGAAGTGACCACATTTTACATAGATAAAACTAGTATGGTAATGTTAGTT